GTTTTGTGATCCGAATCAACTATTGGATGTTTACACTCTAGTCCCCAAACTTAGGAATTCCTTCATTTTCGTACGTTTTTGGTTCCTGTCTTCCAAATCCATATTTTCCATCCATTTACAACCTAAACCAAAATATAAGGGTACTAAGTACATTGAGGCTTTAATTAATCATAAAAATGCAAGTATTAATGGATGTAAAATACGACATTTTATGTCTTATCAAAATCCCCCACACTTAGCTTTTACTCGTCCTTGAGTAAACTCAAATTTTATTTTTCCCAAAAATATCAAAATTGTAATGCAATCAACAAGGAATAATCAAACTCTTTAAAACACATAACACATCATTATAAACCTTCTCACACAACTTATAATCAATTAGTAAATATTCTCATATAAAGATGGAGTAAACCAAACTTGTAAACCCTCACAAAATGTAAGCACTCAACTCTCATGTGTTTAAGGTATATGTGATTCGCTCAAGTTCATTCTAATGGACATGATCTACCATATGCTTACATATCTTCTTATTCACAACCAATTAGATCACATGCATTACACAAATCATAAGGTCTTTTCTATGGGTTGTAACGTGACTTAGGGTCCAGGTGGGAAGTATTTGTGTAAGTAACTCAAAAGCCATTGAACTAGTGAAGTAAAGATGAATTAACTCAGTTCAAATGTATATATAAAGCATGTAAGATCAAACCTCTCCATTTACAACTTCTTTGCATCTATTTCACACAACCCATTCATTTTCTTGTGATACTAGGAGGAATTACGAACATAGAATAATTTTGGAACATTGAAGATCATTTCTTCCATCACTTTTTTTTTTCTTTTTTTTTTTAACCCCTCTTTTTTTCTCAACTCAAAATATTGCACTAATAATGGAACTTATGAATTGAAATTGAATAATATGTTCCATTACACCAATCGTAGTCCTACCATAGATTCATACACTCACACACTTATTTTTTTCGCACTCTCATATGTATCAAAATGAAGACCAACACTCCACTAGCTTTACGGCTTGGGTAAAGATATTGTTTTACCAGATTTGAAGCTGGTAACATGGATTCAAAAAAGAAAAGGCTATAAAGCTCAAAGGGGTTCAACAAGGGAAAAATTAATTACAGGGTAGGCTATTTGGTTAAGGTGGCTAACTTATGCAACAAAGATGGCCTTAATCATATTCATGCATGCATGTATCAATGTGATCTCAAAGAGAATCAAGGCAAGTTCTAGAGAAACAAGTCCATGGAAGAGTATCACTCATGAAAGAAAAATAGTAAGACTGATATTGATGTGTCAGTCTAAAAGCTTAAAATCTCACTGGCTTTTTTGTCTATGAAATGTAGTTACTACCATCCTCAAAGAAAATAACCACACTAATTAACTCTAAGTCGGGGGATTATTTATTCAATCATGTTATGAATTCCTCAGAAGCTTAATTGAATCTAGAAAATAGCATACACAACCAAAATTATTCAAAACCACTTTGTTTTCTCCATCTTATGTCGAAGTATTATCAAAAAGTCTAAAATAAACCAAAAAAAAAATATGCGAATTGAAAATTTTAGACTCAACCTAAATTTCCTCCACCACACTTAAAACTTACATTGTTCCCAATGTAAGGTAAAACACAAAGAAAATGATAATATTAACCAAACATATGAATATAAAAAAGATAAAGAAGCGAACTCTCCTTGGGTTGCCTCCCAGGCAACGCCTTTGTTTATTATCTTTCGCTAGACTTAATGCTTCCTTCCTCAACTGACATCAATTGGGTTCCCAAGGTCCCATATTCTCACTTCATCCATTTGGAAACCTATATAGAAAGGCCTCTTGTTAGCAATTGGCAAAACAATATGCGAACTTTTACTTGACTTTGAAGACTTCGGAGAAGCATTCAATACTGCAATGGTTTCCTGCAAGGCAGTATTCAAGGGTAACTCCCGATTCACATTCTCAATATGCTTATCAGTGGAAACTTTCACTGCATTATTTTCATCAAGTTCTAAAACTTCCTGTTCTAAATTATCAATCACTTGAATAGAATAAATAGGGTTAGTTTCATCAGGATGTTTCATGGCATTATAAATCACTGATTTTTTTTTTTTTATCCAAAGTAAGCATGCCACTATAAAAATCTATTTTAGCTTTGGACATCCTTAAGAATGGTCTTCCTAGCAAAATGGGGATAGTTTCATCACTATATCCCATATCAAGCATATAGAAGTCAGCGGGAAAAATCAAATCATTAATTTTCACGAAAACATCATCAACTACACCCTTAGGATAGGCATTAGATTTATCAGCTAGTTGAATTATGACACCGGTTTCATTCAAAGGTCTAAGTTTTAAAGAAGCGTATACAATGTATGTCATGAAATTAATAGAAGCACTTGAGTCTAACATGGCCTTTTCAAACCTAGTGTTACCTATTGTGCAAGTGATGCTAAACATGCCTGGATCTTTGCACTTTGCACTTTGTAGGAAGATTTCTTTGAATGATTGTAGAAACATTTTCCCCTACGTTTATCTTTTCACACCTTTGAAGTTTTCGTTTTCTTTTAAGGGTACACAATTCCTTCAAGAACTTAGCATAACGAGGTACTTGTTTAATAGCATCCAACAATGGAATGTTTACCTCACATTTACAGAAAGTTTCATAAAGTTCATGATTATGTCCATCTTTTCTAGCTTCTACTAAAGCCTGAGGGAAAGGAGGCACTGGTTTATACTCAAAAAGGGGTGGAAACTTACGCTTAGATACGTCATCATCGTTGGGAACACTCTTTTCTTCAAGCACATCTTTCTTATTTTCCTACTCCAATGATGTAGGAGCTGCCCTTGGAATTTCAACTTCCTTACCACTTCTCAACAAGATTGCACTTACATTTTCCCTTGGATTGACCATTGTTTGAGAGGGTAATTTTCTCGAACCTTGTGCTTCCAGCTTGTTGATTGCAGTTGTCATTTGACCCATTTGATTCTTCAAACTTTTAACACTTGTCCTTGCCTCTTGTTGGAATTGTTTTGTTTCCTATTGAAATTGTAAAGTGTTAGTTGCCAAAGACTTAACAATATCCTCTAGAGACATACTGGAACTTGAAGTTTGATCCTGTTGTCGTCTAGGAAGATATGGCTACCTATATTGCTGAAAGTTTGGTTGATTTACTTGTTGATTCCCATAGCTAAAATTAGGATGATCCCTCCATCCTGGATTGTAGGTGTTCGAGTAAGGATTATAATCCCTTTGTGGTTATCCAGGAAAGCTGCCTACTGTATTAACTTGTTTATCTTCTTGGAGAGTTGGGCACATGTCAGTTGGATGTCCTACCACCGAGCAAATTCCTCATGCCTTCACCGTTTGCATATTACCTGCAACCATTTGACGAACAAGAGAAGTTAGGCTCACAAGTTTTTGATCAAGAGATGAAACATTTACCTCATTAACATGTCCAGAAGGAGTGTCAAGTCTAGTGCCAAATTGTTGAGAGTTGGTTGCCATGTTTACAATCAAATTCCTCGCGCACTCGGGAGTTTTATCCACCAAAGATCTTCCACTTGCAGCATCAACCATACTTTGTTCCGTAGGTAGAAGGCCTTCATAGAAATATTGGATGAGAAGTTGTTCACCGATTTGATGATGGGGGCAACTTGTACACAGTTTCTTGAAACGTTCCTAATATTCATGTAGATATTCCCTGTTATCCTGCCTCACTCCACAAATTTCTTTTCTAATATTTGCTGCCCTTGAGGCTGGAAAGTATTTTTCTAGAAATAGCTTCTTCATTTCATTCCATGTTGTGACACTTCCAGATGGTAGATAATAGAGCTAGTCCTTAGCTGAATCCTTCAGAGAGAACGAAAAAACTCTCAATTTAATTTGCACTTCAGTTGCCCCTGTAGGTTTCATATTTGTGCAAACCACATAGAATTCCTTCAAATGTTTATGGGGATCTTCACCTGCAAGACCATGAAAAGTGGACAATAGATGTATTAGCCCGGATTTTAATTCAAAAGTAGTATTATTATCTAAATTAGGAAAAGTTATGCATAAGGGTTGTTGATGCAAATCCGAACCTGAAAGCTCTTTCAAAGTTTGATTCCTAGCCATGCCAATCCTCAACCTACACAAAGTTCTTTCTATTTCTGGATCGTACTGTAAATCACCTTGGTTAGATGATCTAGTTATGGGCATAAACAATCAAGAAAGCAAAACGAAAGAAAAGAAAACTAAACTAAACAAAATAACAAAATAAACAAAATCTTTTTTTTTTTAAAACAAAAACTAATGAAACAAAATAAAAGCACAAAAATAACTAAATCAGTGCCCAACAACGCGCCAAAATTTGGTGCGTGCTGTCGCAAGCACTCCAAATTAAAACCTATTCTCCTCAAAATAAATGTAGTAGTGGAAGTAAGGGTCGATCCCACGAAGAGTGTTTGATCTATCTTTTATGCTAAATTAACTAAAAGGGGGGTTTTGGTTTTGAAACAATTATTAAAAATAGCAATTAATGTAAATGCAAATTATCGAATTAAATGAAATCAATAGAATGAACCATGGTCTAAGTCAACATCCACCGTTGGAGATTTACAATTGATCATTGATCCACAAATAATTATTAATTCATACTTTTAACATTCATCCACTACAACAAAAGTAGTTTTTTACGGCATTCATTTATGGCATGTATTTTCTGCATGTCGTGAAAGGTTTCCTTTTACGGCATTCTACAAATGTGTGCCGTAAAAATTTAATAGTTTAAAGTATTTACGACATACATTTAAGACACGCCTTAAATAGGCAATAATTACAGCGTACTGTTTGGGCGTGTCGTAAATGGGTTAGTTTTTACGACGTGTATTATGTACGCCGTAAATCGTGCCCAAATCACAACCCATGCAAGAGGTAAAATCCGGAGCCCAAAACAAATAAAATTAGACCCGCCAACCCAATAGCCCAAACCTAATGGAATTAGGGAAGATGGAGGCAAATAACTTTCATTCCCTCTCAATTTCTCTCGATCTCTCTCTCAATATCGAGACCCAGCCCTCAATTGTTTGATCTGGAAACCGTCTTCTCCATTATTTCAAGGTAATTGTTTGCTGTTTTTATAAAATTTCATTGGAGTTGCATATTTCCTCATGCATTTTTTTTTTTGTCCGATTTCACTCCACCTTGTCGGAGGACGGCATCTTAGGTATAGTGGAGGATGACGAGTCGATGTCTAAGTTAACTTTTGCCATCAAATTTTTGCCATTTTTGTCATCATTCACCATCGATTCTGTTCGTATATATATCATTCACCACCAATGAATTTCCGTATATATATCACTTACGAAAACATAAGTTTGAATGTTGTGATAAGTTATTTTAGTGGGTAAATGTAGTGATAAGTTATTTTAATCTCGTGATTTATTTTGATGCAGATATTTGGTGCACTCAATTTAATGAAATTTAATCAAAATTAAGGAAGAAGATAAGTGGATAATGTCTATATATCATATATAATCTTTCTTACCAAAATTCTAACATTATATTATGCATTCTGGATAGATTAATTTAGAAAATGAACAATAATATTACATTTTCATGCATCACGTAGTCATTTTTCAATTTGTAAGAGCTTTTCTTAATGCGTTGGTTCAACCTGTGTGATGCATACATTATATGGTTAGTGATAATTAAATATTATAATCGTAGCTAAATTACAATTGTTGCATTGCACTCTTGTCATCTCTATTCTTAATTCATAACCCTCTCAGTAACTATGTGCCCAATTAGTGCACCTCCTTTTTTATTTGGAATTTTTCTCATTTCCTGGGAAAGGAAATAGTAACATTTCAAGAATATACGCTTAATTAATAAATTACAACGCTTTCCTAATTTTGAAGAAAAAAACTCGATAAAATCATTCAAGGACCAGCCAGTTAACCAACAAAATCAAGTAGTTTGTTAACCAGCGAAATTGGCGAGTTCACAATGAAAATTAGTTAGTTACAAAACTGGCCGGTACACCCCCAGAACTGGTCATTACAGTTGGATACCACCTAATTTTGTTGGGGCAGGCTTAATTTTGTACCAGAATTCAGTCTAAAGATGTACACCTAGAGTTGAGTTACCAGGCATTTGATCAAACTGAGAATTCGTAATAAAGTGTAAAGATTTTTTTCTGCTATACTTTCTTGTCAATGTTTTAAAAACCGACCCCCCGACCAAAAATAAGTTAGGGATGAATCTTGAGTCTGGTGGTGGTCGTAGATGTGAGTTAGGGATGAATCTTGAGTCTCCGTCGAGTTGCCTCCAAAAAAATCCTCAAGTTTAGGCTGTGGCTGCATGTTTTGGTGCATATATGGGTCCATGTAGCTAGTGAAATTGATGGAGTTGTTTTCTTTTAGTTTAAAGCTTATATTAGGTAATTTTAGCTCATTAATGTATTTCCTCATATCAGAATAAAATAAAAGCATATTCAGAGACGATTTCCTCTCCAAGCAAACACTCACTTGAAGGTGATAGTGTTGCAAAAGTACTTGGTCCAGAACGTCCAGGACGGGTAAGAGGTCATGGTTTCGGTGCGACTCCTTCAAAGTTGAATGCTTTGGTGCACAATCATAACTTGCAAACTCAAGTTCAAGAGTTGAGGGATGAAATTAAAGAACTAAAAGCTTTGTTTCAAGTGAAGAGTAAAAGTGCTGAACAAGAAGATAATGTAAGTGGAAATCTAGAATCAATGAATGTTATTTTAAATTACATATATTTTCTATATTCAAAATAATAAATTGTACAACTGGATATTAATTTTATAGTCTAGAGACAGAAGCTTGAATGGTTTAGATAACCTTCAAAATAAGAAGTGCAAATTGTTATCTTGGTTTAGGAAAGCTAATATTGTTGCAAAAGGTGAAATTGCATCAACAAATTCAAATGATCTACTGCATCATGTACCCCTTGGTAATGAATGTTGGAGAGTTTGGGTTAATGAAGTGATCAATAATGTTAGCTTATATCGTCCCACGCGTGAGCTTTTTCTTCTAGAAGATGCATTAGGAAGTACAATTGCATGGCCAAGTAGATATATCGAAGTGGATTCGCTGTAATCACAACGAAGGTATGCTTAACTTCTTTTCTATTTTAATTCCATTTCCCTTTATGTTCGGTCTCTATTGAAGATTGTGTTGTTTAATATATTTTTGATTTGGATGCTTATTAATTATATCCTTATTATTTTCGTGGTGTGCAGAGGATCCATATTTTGTGGGGTAGCTAAATTGTCGGTCAAAGAAGTGAACTTTGATAGGTTTAATAATTTTTTGTTATATGACGGAACCTCAATATCCACGGGTTTATTAGTTGAATGGCGATTGGCGCATACAATAGTAGTCGAATATTTTTTAAAATTGTTTAGATGAATTTTACATTGGCATATTGTATTGAACCGTAGTCAATATTTCTTTTTATCGAAATAATGGAAAACTTGATTATATATGGAGTAATTTTATTTTGTTAATATTGCAAGTTTGCTGGTATTAAAATAAATAAATGAATTTTAAAAAAATTGAATGATCATTTATGGCGTGTATAGGCATGTCGTCATGCCATGAGTATAACACTTTATATAGCGTAAAACTGCACACCGTAAAAAGTGAATGGTCATTTACGGCGTGTTTAGGCATGTCGTGATGCTATGAATTTAATCCTCATTACCAAACAATCCTAGACAAGCGGGAGAATTTAATTTAATAATGACTTTTCGAATTAGAGAAATCAATGAACTAGATAACACAAGCCAAGTGTTTGCATTTAACCTAGATAAATATTCTTCCTAAGATTTAATAATTTCCCAAAACAGCAAATTACTAATCCTAGTTGCTTCACAAGTTAAATTAATCGAACAATTACGAATTTGATATTTAACTTAGCTATAGATTGAAACGCATGATAAAATAATGGATCCTTTTAGTAATCAAACATAACAATCATAAAATTAAGCATAGAAGAATATTCAATACTAAAAATAGAAATTAGCAATTGAAAACGATTCCAAGGCTTCAATATCCTTCGACCAAGAGAGAAATTAGTTGTACATCATCAATTCAGAAAGAGGTTCCCCTCGTTCTGGCATCTTTAGGTATATATATGATATCAAAAATATTATTTCCATGTAGAGTTTCATCAGAATAAGGAAACTGGTTCGTTACAGAAATTTTGGCCCATGCTCGCGCACCATATATTTAATTGGACTCACATCATTGGATGACTTTGCTCTCGGGTTGGAGAAAAAGAGGTGCTGCACGCGCAATTGTTTGTCAGTGCGCGCACCGTGTTACACGCGTCGTCCCTGGACAGCTCTCGATAATTTGATCATAACTTTCTCTTACGAACTTCAATTGAGGTGATTCAAAGTGCGTTGAAAAGATGACTTAATGAGCTATAATTCTTTCTAAATACAAATTTTCCAATTTCGTTTTTTGATACTCGAAAAATGGCTCTCAAATTGAGGCTAAAAATTCGGCGCATAACTTCTTCGACTGGAATTTGATTTGTGAAAATGTTTCAACATTATTTCGTTCCTTTGACCTCCAATTGCATCCAATTGATGTCATATGATCTTCAATCATTATTTTGTGATCCGAATCAACTATTGGATGTTTACACTCTAGTCCCCAAGCTTAGGAATTCCTTCATTTTCACACGTTTTTCGTTGCTTTCTTCCAAATCCATATTTTCCTTCCATTTACAACCTAAACCAAAATATAAGTGTACTGAGTACATTTAGGCGTTAATTAATCACAAAAATGCAAGTATTACTGGATATAAAACATGACATTTTATGTCTTATCATGACACTTAAATGAACATGCGGATATTTTGTTATAGAACAAAACATTTGAGACCCATTGGGGAGATTTTACAAGGACAACTATTTGAGTGTTATTGGTTAATCTATAATGTTCGGTAGTAGAATTAGTCCTTCAACTTTGGGTCATCATAGTGCCTTATATGAGGATAGTCGTACTTTGGTGATGCTAGATGTTTTGCTCTGCCAAAGTCGCTAATACGGCATCGTTCAGGTATGTCAATAATCATATGAAGATTGTGAATAATTAATAAAAGATTCATCACTCTTAGATAGTAAGAGATTATTATCTACATTTTATACAATTAAGTTGATAATGAAATCCTTGGCCAAGGTGTACTCGTAAGTCGAAAAGGAGTTTTTGACTTATTTGACTTATAGTGGAGTAGAAAATATGATCGACAATTGAGATTGATACATATTCATATCTCGTAATTTATCAGATTATATTAACAAAAGGATTATAGTTTCACTGTAAACAAACAAGTTTATTTTTGTCATACCACTTGACATTTCCTATTATATGTATTGTCCCGACATATTGCTAGATATCAATCTAGGATGAGAAATGTGAATTAGTTATAAACGAAAAGGGGTGTTTTAATTTATTGATTTTGATTAGATTAAAAAAATAATTTTCGTCGTTAGATATCATGATTGGGAACCTAATAAGTCACACACAAAAAGAGAATTAGAAGAATGAGATTTACCAATTAATTAATTAACAAATATTGGAAAATTAATTAATTAGGTTTCTTATTAATTGCCTGAATTAATTAATTTGTGTGCAAAATTTAATTAATTAGATTAATTAAATATTGGACCAAATTAAGTTATGAGACTGTAGAGAGAATTTTATATTTTTGCTAGCATAAGAAAAGTAAAAACCTTAACTCTCTCAATCTTTTTCCTATGTGGATTTCCATTAGAGGCTGAACAATTAGACAACTGTGTATTACATATCATCATTGTTGGAGTTCAAGAAAAGCAAAGGAGTTTGCATAATTCAACAAAGGTATAATTTCTATCACAATTTTTATCTAAACACAAAGCAGATCCTTGATAGGAATTGGAATTTTGTTTAAATTTCGCTATACATAATTAAGTAAATTCCCAATAGTATCCTAATGCATTGAGGATATGAGCAAAATCTCTTGCTACCCGAACATCTAGCAAATCTAATGAAATTGTACTCTCGCCAATTTTTATATGCAAAGATGATAAAATTCATAACATCGTATTCAATTATAAATATATTATCTACATAAGGTTTCCATTATATTGCAGCACATGAGTTTCTATTTAACATCGTCTTAGAGAATTCCAAAACATGCTTTGATGACTAATGATGTAAATCTATGAACATGAGTTCCAGATTGATTCATTGAAGAACAATCCTGTAGCCACTATATATTAAATTAGCATTTCCTATCCTACTGATTTCCGAAATCTCCTCCAACATTAGCCATCTTTGAGAATACAAATCGCCTTTTGCAAGTTACCTACCATAATGAATCGTATCTAAGACTTTAATCCAGATTGAAAGTAAAAGTGATGGCGACAAGACTGAAAGTTAGCAACGTGGTGAGAGAAGATATTATGGGACTGTTCAAGGTCCGTTAAGAGTCATTTTGTTACCAACTGTAGTGACGGTGTGTATATGGCTAAGCCAATTACGAGGGCATAGATGTTTGTGTATTTTTTTTGCTATTTTCGAGAGTCGCAATTTTCATCCACCATTCTTATAATATTTATTACATTCTAGACCTATGTTATAAAAATTTTACGATTAGAACAAAGTACTATAATTAACCACCTTACATTCCATCACTATCCTTATTAATTTCATTCAAACACTATATATCCACATCACTTTAAATACATGTTTCACTCAAAATATATCCCTATTACAATTTTAAAATTTTCAGACATTACTCTTGTTAAATTGATTCCTATCAACAAAGTTTAATCAAAAACAAATTATTTAAAACAAAATCAACTTAACGAGTTTATCTGTTGCGGAAGCTCGCTCTAAAATTTACAATTTATGAATCTGGGCTCAGCTTGAGTATACCAATATCAAACACAATCAACCAATCCGCTTCAACCCACAACTATGTTTTAGTTCGGTTGCTCAACTCAATGTATCCACAAAGAACACAATAGGGTGGCTGGAATTTGTAACTAAGAAGAGAGGAAGACATGTTTTGTTTATCTCCATCACGAAGAGAGAAAATACAAAGGATCAGCTGCCTCTTTTTTGCTATTGCACACACGTGGCTTCTTCCAACAATAAGGACATATATAGGTCTGGCAGGTATTTTAGGTGGGCTCTAATAATGGGCTTATGAACCAATAAGTGGTAAAGGTGTTGGATTATAAAAGAGAGTCGTCCACGAAGTAAATGGATTGTGAACAACATTAACTTAATTAAATTGCTTCCAACGACCCCAAGTTATTTTTGGTCGAGCCAATTGATTGATGTGTTCATAATAATTTCACTCATTGGTCGAGGTCTACGAAACTAATTCAAATCGTTTAAAATCATTACATGTGATATATTGGATATCAAAACCTAACAAATCTCCACTTTGATATCCTATCGACCTGCAAACAACACAAAGTTTATACTTGCTTAATCAAGGCAAGCAAATGAAATTGGAATAACATACCTAACCTTGTTATTGGACCCAAAAAATATATAATACCTACTCCATATACTCATCAGGGCTAAGGTCAAAAAACACTTAAGTAGAAACAAGTAATCGTTGTAATCAATCAAGAGCATATAATGGCACACACGTGATGAGAACAAAACATTAGATAATACTCATATCTTTTCAACAAATTAACGTCAAGTTAATCAAGTATGGCCAGCATATACAACCATTGCATAAATGACCCCGTGAAAACATCTCACCATAATTATCCTACCACATTTCTTGTTGCTGGCTCCTCAAGAACATGTATTTCCTCTCATCACCAAACATGCTCACTAGGCTAATCAATAAAACAAATCTAATTGGTAAACCAAACTATATCCTAAGTCCATAGGATAATCCTCTACCTCTACCTCATCTCTCTTAGCTTAAGTGGATAATGAGTTTTCACCCAACAGAAGTGATGGAAGTATCTCTCACACTCCATCTGATCAGGGTCATAGAGAATTCTAAACATTTAACTACCTCTCCATATGCGATCTAAATGTCACTCTCCACATCTCTATGCACATCACCAATGTACCATCAGGAATCTATATTCCACAATACCAAAAGACACACACCACACTTATTGTTAATGCATCCTAACCCACTATGAATGCCAACATATTACACAAAGTAAACTAGATTGATCTCAAATTTGTGCAAATGCATATATCAAACACATTGAAATATAATATATAACCATGCAACAAAATTAAAAAATCACACATATGCAGAAAGGATTACACACAGATGCACATGCAATAATTATGTTTATTCTCAAATAAACCTTACTAGGGTCATTATTCGACCCAAAAGCAACATTCGTCTTACATCTAATTTTACCTTTCTACTTATCCTTCTTCGTAGGATAGCCTTTTACAAAGTGTTCGACTTTACCATAATTGTAACACTGTTTACCGCTA